CTAAGGAGGAGGCCAGGAGGGAGGGACAGTGGGGAGGGCTGTGCAGGGGAGGAACCAGGCGGGCAGGGAGGCAGGCAGCCCAGGAATCTCTTCTGGGCCAGTTGGGAGAGCGTCCTGGGCCTGGCCTCCTCCGTGAGGCTGCTCCCTGCCCTGGGCAGCCTGTCCCCTTTCAATTTCAGCCCTGCGGCACCTGCCCCCTCACCACTCAGCAGGTCAGTGGGGGCCAGATGGGCTGCCGGCAAGGGAGGATGCAGGGGCAGAGCTGGCCTGGGCATCTCCCTGATCCCCTGTTCTGTCCCCGAACCCACTTCTGGCTAATGTTGGGGGCAGAGCTGTCGGTTCACAACAGCTCCTGCTAGCTGGTGCCAGGGCCAGTCAGGCTGGGAAGCCTGTCGGCAAGGGGCCCTGCAGCTCCCAGTTCCTGGACCAGTCTCTGGCCACCACACCCCAGGGTGTGCAAGGTGTACACAGGGCTCAGGAGGTGACCCTGGCCCTGGCCAGTCGGGGGCGGTGGCTCTCATTTGAAGGGAGCCTTGGCTAGGGGTATGTTGATGCCAGGGCACTGGCATGGCCATTTGGCATCAGGACAGATTCCCAGGGCCAGCTGCATGTCCTGGGATGGTTCTAGGGTAGTGGTCGCTGACCTTGTCTGGCATAGGGGGACCTGGGTTGTGGAGGTAGCTCAGCAAGGCCTGCTTTGCTTTCCTGGAGCTGCCAAGGTGGACTCTTGGGCCTCAGGGTGGGGGCCGCCCCTCTTGGTCACAGTGTCCTGGCATCTAGGGTGCTGGCCTTTCTACCCAGACTCAGTTGACGTTGGGGATGGGTGGGCATGGGAGCTGCACTGCTGGCTGCTGGATCCTGGGCTCACCTGCTGCCCTCTGGCCCCAGGACTAATCCCACTAACGCTGGGCAGGGCTTAGTCCTTGCAGGGGTTTTGACCAGCTCCTTCCCTTTCCCTGCCCAGTGCACACCTCACACTAGCATTTGTTATGCACCGACTATGTGCCAGGCTCTGAGTGCTTGGTGAGTATGGTGCTCTGAAGACCAGAACTAAGGAATGTCCAGAATCAATGGCAGAGGGTCACCCTGTGAGTTCACTGAGTGAGGACACAGCATGTGAAGTCCAGAGGCAGGAGGGGGCGGGGCCCCAGGTGGAAGCAGAGAGGGATTTTAGATGGATGGCAGCAGGAACTACAGAGATTGTTCTGGGAGAGGGTGATGTAAACACCCGGGGGGCGAGGAGCCCTGGCCCAGGGCTGCGGAGGCTGGTTCCCCACTTGGCCTCCAGCGCCTGGCTCCGTCTCCACATTCACAATAATCTCCAGAAACATCAGGGGTGGGGGCAGGCCCCTGACTGACTGCCTGGGGTGCTGCTCATAAGGTCAGAGGGTCTCGTGACAGTCAGCCGAGCTTGGCAGTTTCCCCGAAGTCCAGGATGTGGTGAGGCAGAGCTGCGTGCGCGAGTCCGTGTGGGCGCCCAGTGAGGGCAGGGCGGCGGTCTCCTCTGGGTGAGCCTGCTCACTCCACTGCCAGAGCCAAATTGGGGGCTGTCCAGGGTGTTGGGCAGGGGCACTCGGCCACACATGCCTCTGTACACACTCTCTCAAGCGGATGGAGAAAGGAGCACCTCTGCAGTGTCCTGTCCCAAGGACCCCGTTGCCCTGGTGACATGCAAACAGGCCCACCACACTGGCCCAGCCTGGAGCCAGAGCTCACCCTGGGTGGCGGTTTGGATGCAAACTTGAGTTTTGTTTCAGTGAACGCTCCACCTATGTGGCTCTGCTGAAGAGGGCCTGTGGGCCAGTGTTGTAGGGTCATCTGGGGTGGGAAGCCCCTCTCTGCAGTCCCCACTTGTATCCCTCCCTGTCCCCTGGGGCTCAGGAGTGTGAGGGGCTGAGCTGGGTCTCCTCCCAGCTGGAGGTCACGCCTGCAGGAGTGTGAGGCCCTTTAGAGGAGCTAGGGGACTCCCAGGAAGAGGCACTGTGGAGGCCACAGACACCAGCACCCAGGACAGCTGGGCCCAGCCCAGGCGAGTCCCCTCCATGCCTCCTGTGGAAAGTGGGGCTTTGTGACTGCCAGCCACAGTGTCACTGTCCCAGCCACAGTGCTCTCTGAAGGGCTGTTTGCGGAGCTTCTGATGGGCAGGTGGGTGGGATGCCTGTCCTGTGCTCTGGGGCCATGCAGCTGGTGGAGGTGGGGACACAGGGTCCTCCTCTCCCAGGCGGGCAGGGCGCTGGGCAGTCCTCCTGCAGCAGGCAGGATTTCCCCCTTCCTGTTTGTGCGTCCCTGGGCCAGGCCCGCGGCAGCTCCTGGGCACTTGGGCCCGTGGCTCCTGGCTGCGCCGCCTCCCGGCCTCTGCTGGAGGTGCTCACCAGGGTGGCCAGGAGGGAAGACTGGCGACGCGTGGGCCTTCCTGAGGCTGGCAGAGGGCCAGGCCCCCAGGCCAGCTGGGCAGGGCTGGTTGGGCCTCTTCCTTCCCTCCTCCCCCTCCCGCGTTCCCAGCGCAGGGTGTGTCCTGCTCCCAGTTGTCAACACCTTTCCTCACGGCCCACCGCCCACAAGACGCCCCTGAGCAGATTTAGGTGCAGCTTCCCAGGGCCAGGGGTGCGTCCCTGCCTGACCTGAGGGGCCTCACGCGGGGCCCAGGACCCTCTAGCACCCGAGGGTCTGGGCTCCCGGCCTGGAGGTCCTCTTTCCCAAGGAGCTGCCTTGCAGATCCCTGTCCTGTCAGCCGCCCACCACCCTGTGCGAGATGGAGCCTCTCATTGGCTCTGTTTTGTCTGACCAGAAGGCAGCCGGGAGACTCAGAGGGAGAGGGGGTGGCTGGGTCTCTGGGTGTCCTGAGGAGCTTCTCAGGCCAGCCCCCTCCCAGCCCAGGGACCCCAGGCCCACCCCAAGACTAGGGCAGTTGCGATGGGCCAGGTGGCCCAGGGAGGTCCAGAGCAGCAGTGCCTAAAGGTGACCTGGGCAGTCAGTGGCCAGCATGGGGTGTGATGGGCCCCCACCGTGGTGAGTCCCAGCTTCTGCCCTGCACTGAGCCTCCCCCAGCCTCAGTTTCCTCACATGTCACGCACCAGGCATCAGCCTGACAGCCTGGGGAAGGAGCATTTGGCTCTGGGACAGCAGAACGGGAGCCTAGCTCCTGAGGCTGAGGCTGCCCAGCTGTGGTCCAGCTGCCAGAAAGGGGAGCTGCTCAGAAACCCAGAGCCCTGCACCATACCTGCCCTGTCCTGCAGTCCTGGCCTGTGGCTCTGGCTCAGATGGGTCCTCTGGGGAACTCTGCAGGAATGGGGTGAGGGGCAAAGTGAGGGGCAGGCAGCTGCTTGGGAGGCAGTGACGGGGCATAAGTATTCCACTGGGAGCATCAGGGGACCCTGGGGGTGGCAGACTGGTGCCTTCCAGTCAAGGCAAATGAGGTGGCCCTGGGGAGAGGCCCCATCTGGCCAGGTCAGAGCTGTGCAGGAGAAGACTGCCCTGCCACCTGGTTAGGGAGTGGGGGTCTGTGGGGAGACCTGGGGGGGCGTGCCGGGAGTATTGGGGACTTGAGTGGACCCCCTTGCCCCAGGTCAGACTTGCAGATGGGGAACCAGGGTTGGGGTTCTCCCATGGAGCCCTGGAGGGCCTGGCCACTGGAGCAGTGGGAAGGAGGTGGGGCAGGAAGTAGGGTGGGCCCCCACAACTTCTGGCATGACCCAGAGTATCTGCTCTGCCTGGGCCTCCTCTCCTTCTCTCCC